AGCTCACTCGAAGTGATAAGCTTCTGGGATACTAGGATCTGAGGAAGAGATGCGTGCAGCGCCATCTCCCCGTGGTAGCGCACTATTGGTCATTTTAGGATCTCCCGAATCTGCATATGCAAGTTGGTTCACAGCCGAGTGTACTAGGCCGTACATGTTGACGAAATAACAAGTAGTGACAGCAATATACTTGACGAAAGAAAAAATGAAAGAAAAGTGATTGATGACCACTTCTATTTTACTCCCTTGTCAAACTCATTGAGTTTGGAATTAAAAGGAATTGGTCATAGGACATACGCTCTAATACCTTGTTGAAACAAAAATGGTGCACTATACTCACAAAGATCATTGTGAGGGAAACATATCTTTCAATTAACTAAAGATGAAGGAACACATAAGTACTCGAGCAGGGACGGGTGGGACCAAAGAATGTTCCTAAAAACTAGAAGGAGATAAGGCCAAGTGGACACACACTTCAATAGCATGTCGCTGGTTTCCTTGGCTGTGACTAGAATGACTTCTTGAGAGTCGAATTCCTCATCAACATCATCACCTTGGATGCCCATCAGGTAAGGGAGTTGATCCTTGATGATCTAGTTGAGGATATAATTGTAGGAGACAATATCCTCGTCCGTATAATTGAGGAGATTGCTTATATCCATAAGGTTCTTATAGTGAAACATGATGATCTGATACTCCTATTCGTTGATGACGTCCTTATCAACACGGTCCTCCTCAATGGGTGGTTGCTCGAACATATATGTCATGCGGATTCGGTAGTGCATGCAGCAGTACTCCATAGTTTTGTTCTTGACGTCTATGGCATAGACTGTAACAACAAACCTGATAGCCAATAGTACATTGATCTTCTCTACGTGCTCGACACCATCTTCAAGACGATGTAGCAGCAAATGATTGAAGCGACGATGGTAATATGCCTTAAGATTAGAAATGATGTTGACGTTGCACATCTAGATCCTTGAAATCATATTTGGATGAAGGTTGCAACTAGTAGTGTTTTTCAACTCAATGTCTGAAGGAAGTTTGTCAAGAGGTACGAGTGCGCTGCAGTTGTTGAAAATCAAAAGCACGTTGTGATTGACAACATGAAGATCAAACGCTTTCAACCACTCCTAAAAGATGATCTACGTCATCCAAGCCTTTCAGTTGTTGCAATATTTGTAGTCAAGGCTGTCATGGATAATGTGCTTCAAACAATCCATCCTTGATGCTTAAAGCACTGAAGATTTTTGTACTTTTTGATGATCCAAAGCCATAGTTTGTTTGATCATCTCCATTGCAATAAAGAGTCATGATAAGCCACACTATGTTCTGTTTGCATACTTCAAGTTGCTTTGTGGCAAGGGAGTTATCGGCCCGGAACGGAAAGTGCTCAAGATTAGTGGATGCAAAAGATAAGATCTAAGATGCGAACACAATCATAAATGCAAGTGTCAAACCTCCATGAAATCGATTAGTTTAGTTTCATGCATGTTGTATATGTACTTTCAAGCGTACATGTCTAGCAATTGAAGGATTCCCGGAAGGACAAGATCAAATTGATCAAAGAATCGAAGTCAAAAGATCAAAGATTTTTATTCTTGCGCGTGTTGTGTTTTCTATTCAATAACTGAGCTTTGTGATGTAGTGCAATTTATAAGTTTTGAACTCGTTTCTCTACCTCATATTGAGCATTCATTAGTCTCAGCGACATTGTGTTTCAAGACATTAGCCTTGTAATGTCTATAATATTTGACATGTATGTCTATGATGTGCTAATAGAGTTGTGCGTTGCTTTTCTATGAAAAAAACGGGAAAAAAAAGATTTGAGAAATTGCAATTATGGGAAAAAAAGAAATTGCAATAATCTACTCTTGCGCTATCTCTTGCTCTTGTACCTTCTTATCGTGACGATTTTTGCACATATTGAGGATATTCTTCATTGGGTTTCAATTTGTTTTTTTGCATTTCATCTTATGCAATGCGTGAAAACTCCGGATTACTCATATCGTTAAAGTTTGAGGTACAGTATTGGCAACTGTTTAGGAAAGTTATCTAGGTTAAAGATATTCATAAGACCTCGCGGATTCTCGTGATTTTAACAATATTGAATCTAGATCATGATACTATCTAGAGCTAGCTCTATGCGTCTTGAAGATGAGCTTTTTTTGACTTTTATCTATTTGGAATTTGCCTCATTTGGGGCGCCTCGAGATGTATACTATCCAAATGCGAATACTATGGTGATCAATTTAACTGATTTAAAGTAACTTCTTTAATTCAATAATCTGTCTAATTCAATACTTAGGTTAGATTTCTCCAACAATGCAACTAAGACATGTGAAGGATTACCTTTCACTAAATATTGCATGCTATCATTAAGCTATCAGGGTTGAAGATTAGCATTTGTCAACTACGACTATGTCTTTTGATCTTAGCCGTACTACATAGAGCAAAAAACATATTTGCCATTGTTATTAGTTTCAATAAACATTGAGTGTTTTCATGAAAGTTGTCTAAAGGCAAAAAAACATTGTTTATATGTTATAAATAATAACTCTGATAATACTAGGATACTCCAAGTATTAATCGGTAAAATCATTAAAAGTAATAACAGTTGTGGACGTCAACTCACGCAAAACTCCAATAGTATTACCTAATAATATGGTAATATTGATGTTTGAAGCACTAGTATAATTGGTGTTGAAAAGAGTGAGGTACAATGTCTTGAAGCATTTTGTTTATACCGCTAGAAAATAACTCTAAAGTTAACAAATTCACAACGGCTAAGTTTATAAAAGTTTCAAACAACTTTCAAATTAGAAAAAATTGAACCCTCGTCAAATTTGGAAAAAAAACGGCCATTAAGCTTGAAAACAACCAAACCGGTAAGTTTGGAAAGTTCCAAAGAGTATTCTAGTTTGAAAAAATATCAAACAAGCTCCTAATTTGAGATTGAACCAAATCGTTGTTAAATACTCAATCTGTATTTCAAATGAAAATAAGTCAAATCGATTTACAATTTTATAAAGAATAAAACCGCCATTTTCATTGGAGTCTATGACATTAGAACTTGTCATTGTAAAATCTATAACTAAAGGCTAAGTATGCAAAAATTTGTTTGATTCAAGTTCAATACTTAGACGGAAAAATTACTATACATGTATTTAAATTGCACAATGATCATGAAGACATAGTTTAAATATACATTTGATAATTCATATCAATTTCAAAAATGTACACATAGTATTTAAATATTTCATGTTAATACATAAGCTTTTTTCCTACACAAACATGTGTTTTATCTTTAGATTTCAAAAATCTAGCCCACATGACCATCAATCTAAACTGAAATAGATTTAGATTTATATCTCTTACTATTTTATCACAACTTAATAAGCTAAATTGCTACGTAATTCAATTTATGTGACAATGTCAAATTGAGTATTCATTTGAATAAAATGCTTCATTTGAAAAACATATACATGTTGAATGATGAATCTCATTATTTTATAATCGAACAACATCACATGTAAAAAATACAGTCACTAAATTATTTCATCCTAGTTTATTTATACCTTGCAAATCAATAAAGTCGTAATAAAATCTAATTAAAAATTAACATTGTTTGAGGACACATGATCAATTGTGCAATGAAAGTACAAATTTGTGCATATTTTCCATAGTTGAACAAAAATCATATTTTTCTTATGGATATAAAACTCAGATACTAATTCTTGTTATTACATTCATTCATCAAACCACATGTATGAAAATTGTAACCATCTTTAGTTAGTTAGAACTAAAGAAGAGGTTACTCTAAATTTTGATACAAATACTTTAGCGTGCATTAGTCGTATCTACCACGTCGGCAATCCGGTAGATAGAGAGTACATGTGTTAGTTGACAGTGTCACGTCAACGATCCGTGTGCTTGCTAGTCAAGGATTGAGTGTGTTAGTTAGAAGCATCACGTCAGCAATCCGTGTGTTTGCTAATGTTATCCATCACGTCATCCATCCATTATGAGTGGGATGGATGGTGGAGATAAGATCTTATCTCATTGTACTTGTTAATGAGAACTATATAAGAGATAGAATAACTGTTGTTTGAATTTTTCATCTTAAGAGTTTATGTCTCTATCTTCAAATGAACTTCTCTCTAAACCCTAATGTTACAAAAATAGTCTAAAATCAACATAAATAACTTTATTTGATATGAAACACGATTTTGTAAACAAAATTCAAATCTAATAATATGATGAAACAATGAAATATTAACAACCGCAATTCAACATAATTCAATTAAAGTATTTTCTTATATTATAATTGAAATTATGTTATGCAATTTTGAGATAAAATTTGAATGTTATTTCTTCAATGTTTTCACAATCTTTTATTCAAGATTAATTTCCAATGTGAAGCTCATGTGCATGTGAAATAAACGACTAATGTTTGTTGGACGTATGTATATTTTAATCACATTTTCATGACTAATTATTAATCATTATAACAAAAAATTTTCAACCAAATTTATGAATTAATATTATAACAGTTAAATAATTTTTTTTATATGGATGATAAATTATATAAATAAATTATTTTTGATTTATTAAAAAATTTCCAATTTCGTATATAGGTTTATCTCTATGCATAATATATATGGTGTTGCAAATGTTAATTTTGTTATCATCAAATACAATACGTTAAATCTTTTTATAATCACTAACTAATTGAATGAAAAGAACAATCAGTCCATATTCAAAAATTAGTTTTGGCTATTCATATTTATGTGTTTTTCATGATCAAATGATAAATTTATAAATGTGATAAGCATGCAATATCCATACACTTATTTTGTAATTTTTTGTATTTATTTATTTTAACATAATATGTAAGATTTTTTTTTTCTCAAATAAGCTTTTCCATTAATATGAAATGAATAATATTCATGTATAATGCATATTTTTCATAAAAATTAGAAACTAAAAACATTTCGCTGATCCGCAAAGAGCACATGTTCTAAAAAGAGCGGATCGGGTCGACCTCTAGCTAATATCAATAACCTGCTCAGCCCGGGCAATCGGACTAGGATTGTATAAGTGTATGGCTTTGTAGGCGCTTGGTCGAAATAGAATCATACCCGTGGCAGGACAGGTAAGGCATTTACCGAAGCGGTTAAAAGTCTTACTAGCTGTCTTCAGTTTGTATTTTAAAGCAAGAGTAAGGGCACAGGACATATGCAACACATGTACAATCTGATTAAAACTACTGCGATTCGACGCAAACGAGTAGTAATTCAAGAATCCCCGGACTTTCTTATTGAATAATTCTAGAATGTCTGCATGATCCAATGGGGTTAGATTCTTCCTCATCGTGGGTACATATTTCCCCATTTCATTCCATTTTACAAAACCTTTCTCTTTTAACTTGTAAAAAAGTTTATATGTATTAAATACATAAATGGAAATATCAAATAATGTATACAATCATATTAAGCATTAATATCATCCAATTGCATTTGAATTTGTTATGCATACAAATGAATGGACAAACAATCTGTTTAAACAACTGTCATGAAATTTTTGTTTCTGATTATGATGACAAGATTGCATCTTTTGTATTTTTAGTTATTTGATTTAATAAACTTCAAAAAATTGCACATGATAATAAAAATAAAGCTTCACTAAGAACAAAACCTCACAAGTGTCTAGTTTAAAACCCTCTTAAAGTTATGTATATCGAGATTTTTTCAATCAAAATTTTTGTCGATATCTTGTGTGTAACTTATGGTGAAACCATATAAGACGTAATATATTTGTTTTCATCTCTTAGAACTCTCTGCAGATGTCTGAAGTCTAGGTTGGGGTTTTGGTGTATCTCTTTCAGACACAAATCGATCTTTCATCCACAGATCAGATCGTACTCCGAGTATTCAGACAGGGGAGTTGCTAGGAAGCGATCGAAAGTGCAATCGAGTTATCAGCAGAGCGACACGAAGAGCGGTACTTTTCATAGTACCTGCCTGTCCGGCTCTGATCACACCTGTCACGCAATTCCCAGCTCCAAGTTCCCGTCTCGAAGATGGGACAAAAACTCCGGTCACAGGGTTTGTGGTGAACCACTTCACTGGGACGCACATTATCCCGCAGAATTTAGGTGAAGTCCGGAAGCATTTCCAACATTCCACGAGGTAAGTTAGTGGGAAGAGTGCGCGCAAAGTTTCTCGTCCAGGCGATTTTGGTAGCATGATGAGATGTACGGACCGCGTTTCGTGTCGAAGCGTGGGTCGGTGATGAAGACTCACGTCCGCGCTTTGCTTCACACTAGCACACTAATGACCTACCGACTGTTAATTTAATCTTCATAGTCTTGTGATGGAAGGTTGTCGATAAAAATACTGTTTGTGGTCTTCTTACAACTCGCTAATTGTACAACAGTCGTTGCTGCTGTTTGCTTCTTGTTTATCCCTTCTTGTACATCGTTTGGTTGTACCCCTTCCATGTTCAAGTGAATATGATTTTTCCCTGATCGAGTTTTGTCATTTGTGAATTCTTACAATAGGCACGCAGCTCCTACTTTCCTCTCCTGCTCACTCTCCACTCCCTGTACAGGTCGGTTCCACACGTGAAATGGTGCGGGGTGCATCTGCCTCGGTGAAAACCTCGTAATTCACGGGAGTTAATGGAAATCAACATCTGATGTTTATTTGTTCGTATGTTAAAAGCTATGTGCAGTTGACCGGTTCACTGTCCGATTGGAGAATGGACTTCTGTTCTTTATGCATACTTTACTGAACTTATCTGCATCTTCGCGTTTCTTTGAGGCTTGAATGTCATTATTTGAAATCAAGAATTGAATGACGCGATCTAAGGCCGAATTGAATAGAAGTAATTGCTCACTGGTTGCAAAGACTTGTTGCTTGTGTGCTCTTGTTCTAGGGTTTTGGTGAGTCGTGCATCTGCGAATTGTATGATGGATTGTGTTGATTTCTTCTTGGTGAGTTTGTTGTTGCGGTGAATCGAGCGGATGTCAGCTTCGAATGGCCTATGTTTTGTTTTCCTTTCTGAGTCCAGCTCGGTGACATCTCAAGAGGGCTAGGAATCTACTTTGGCTTGTATGTTGTGGGTCTCTGTCCAGGAATATCGATGTTATTTTGTGGGTCGCTTGTTCTACCTAAATTACGAGACCTTGGCACTAGGAATCATGTGATTGTCGTTAGCTTTGGATTGTCTGAGTTCTCACTGCGCGTTATTTTTGGTATAGGGGGGTTCACCAGCTCCAATTCTTCTGTCTGTTGAATCTCAGAGTTGCAGTGTCGACTATATTCAAGGCTCAAAAGCAGAAACTTCACTTTTGCATTTTAAGCGGAGTTTGTTCGTCTTGTTTGACCATCGAACAAGTTCCGTTCTTTCGATCGGCAGTATATACTCACATTCTCATCAGCAACTGGAGACCAACGACGGGGACGGGTTAGTGATTCTCGTTCAGGTGACCTTCCGCGGGGATCCAAGATGAGTTTTGATGGGCTGCAGAGAGCAGATGTTTTGTGCTGAAATATAGTGGCGCAAGCAGTTCTGTGAAGCTCTAGGAGCTGGAAAGTTAGGGTCTTCACAGTCTGCTCGAAGGAATGGAGACCACGGTGGGAAGTTTTGCAATTCCTGGAGCTACATTGGCTCAAATTATGCACGACTTCGGCTCCGTGGAGAGCGATTGCGATGGAATTCTCTTTGGTCGCTTGCAGACTCAGGTCACGTCCAGTATTCTGGACGATCAATCTGGTCCTCCGACTTTGCTTGAAGAGACCACTGCGAGGGTCACGGGGCACTTTTGCACTGGCAGGGTGATGAGCTTTTACGACTCAATTGGGCGGCTTAATCACTCGAAGCTTGCAACAATTCTGAAGGATAGACAAAATCGCGGCGAGGATCCACCCATCGGTTGGTACATCGGCAGGAGAAACACCTCATTATGGCCGTCCATGCGAGAAATAGCCGTTACTGCAAGCCTTCGAGCGGCTGTCATCACCAGTAGCGCACCCAAGAAGAAATCTAGCGGCGATGGTCACTCACCGATGGAAGGACGAGGGGAAGATGGCAGCGGGAGTCCTATTAGCTCTGATCCCAAAACTTTACAATCGGAAGTGTTCGGTGCTCAAGGAGGAGGTTCGCCGAGCGTGAGTAGGCGAGTACAGTCAATGCAGAGTGCTGAAGGTCAGTCTCCTAGGTCTCCCGGGAGAACATCCTTTGCCTCTGCTCTGGGAACGGACCCTTCTTCAGGACACAGCGCAAGTTCTCAGCACGAGAGGCGCTCTAACTCTCAATCACGATTCAGTAACCAACCAGCACCAGCACCTCCTCCTCCATGTGTTTTTGTGCTCTTCACTGAGTCCGACTCCGCCAACCATGCTGTCAGGACTCATGAGTACCGAGCCTTCCAGTCCCTTCAAAATTCGGTCGGTATAGGTTTCGAGCCCCTCCCTGTGAAGATAGTGAATGCTGGACTGTCCTTCCGTGGGTACTACGATTCCTTTGTTCCTGTCGCTCGTTTTCCATGGTTTCAAGGTGATTTTGTGACTTCTCCTAGCGAACGGAATGAATCCAGCAGCCCTCGCAGTCCTCATCGGGGGAAATCTGCAGACCCGATGAGTCCCCTCCGAGATGTTGGAAGACATAGCTTTGCAAAGCCAACACCATTGGAGATTAATGGAAAGCAAGAGAGAGGTAGCAGGAGGACTCATGATGACTATGTGGACTCGAGACACGATGGTGTGTCTGGAGACCAGGCTCTCGGTCTCATCCATGCAAAGGGCATGCGGGTTTCGGAGTTCGAGAAGATGTATCAAATAATGCTAACGAAACTAGAGAGACTGGCCACGGAAGTCTGTGATAGCTCTGCAGCTCTGCATCAAGCCTCGAGATGATGTGAACATGGCCCTGGCTTTTAGTCTGCAAGGAGTAGCGTATCTTATTCGAAGATCTGGCCACAGCAAGCAACCTGATCTCTACTTATCCCGGTGAGATCTCTCAGGGCAAAGGGCTATGTAAGGAGAACTGTGAGACATGTTGTTCAGCGAGTTTTGCGAGGTCAAATTTATTGGGAAGCCAAGAGCGGAGCGTTGTGAGTGTGCTGCATAGGCACATATTGCCAAACCAACGGGTTGACTCTGCGGACAGAATGCACGCTCGTCTTCTTTGGCTCGGTGATTTTGAGTAACGAGTGTAGATTGGAGGATTGGTAGCTTGAGCCTTACTGATCAATCTGTACAGACATGTTAACCTGGAGGAAACTTTTCCTCTCACCTGCACGCTATTGTAAGAAGTTGTTGGGTTTGGTAGCTTCTAATCTGTGGTCACTTTTTTCAAGTCGTCATGGAGCTAAGTACTGTTAGGGACGATTTTATACAGCGGCAGGACTTTACATGGACGTGTATCTAGTCAGAGAATTTCCTCCATGATGCTTCTTCTTATGTTGTTGGGAGATACATGACCTGTCTGCAACTGTTCTAAGTTCCCGGTTAAGGCATGATCAACTCTCTCATGCTGCATCGTCTCGACTCCGCTCAGCTTGCAAGTTTAGAATGAAAGGCCTTGAATGGAGATATGATGAGGATCCCAGATTATAACGAGCCAAACGTGGTTCTGCCAGAGCAACGAGTGAAGATTCTTCATGTTATAGGCAGTAGTACAGAATATATCACGGGTTGATATGATGACGTGATGGTCTTTCCGGGGCACGTTGTTCATCTTGTGCCGTTCATGATACATATACGGTGGCGCAACAACGAGATTCTGGATTCCGAACTAAACTCCTCATAGAATTCCGCTTTGTAGAATATGTACATAAGATGATAGCTGATGGACATATTTCCCATTGTGGTGCAATTCGGCCCCAGCCATTGCTTTTCGTTTCATCCACACACGACTTCATTAAGTCTTTCCATATCTCTTGTTATCTTACTCCACACTTCTCAAATCTAAAGCTCAAACCGAAGCAGCAAGTCCCTACGGTCAAATCAGCTGCGTGAGTGGACATCCGATTAGCAAATTACAGTACTTGGGTGTAGATGGTTGTGTCAGAGGTATTTGCTTCGCTGATAGGCAATTCGTGCGGTTGGGCGTATCAATATTTCTTCGAACCGAAATGGAAACTCTTAACTTATTTCGCCCGTCCGCCCCGCCCACAACTTTCAACTCTGTTCCTCAATTCCTCTCTGCTTGCCTTAGAATACGAAGTCTCGATACTAGTGTCCCCGCCTCCGAAACAAATCCTCTACGTACTAAGATCAATTCACCGCCCTGACGAGAGAAATCAATTCACTCCACGGTCGAAACAAAGTTCAAACCGTCAGCTTGGACACAGAATAAGCAACTGCTGCACGGTGTTCAGCTGCACTGCGATCTGTGTGGCGCAGCTGCAACTACTTCCTGGGAAAACTAAGTGGTCAGGTGACGAAGGAAGTTAGAAGCCCAATTTTCACAGCTTTTGTTACAAAGGAAGTGTCACGGAGTGCTCAGCTCTCCCATTGCACACATCTTAGTGCGAATTGGTCTCTTTGGCAAACAGCAAACGATAGCAACGTGGTGCGTCGAACCATCTGCCCAGTGTCCTCGTAGACGGATTGGAACCGCGAAAGAGGTGTCGAACATCTGAAGAAGTGAACACTCTGTGAAGAAGATGGGGAACCTGTTGCACTACACTTCAGAATGGGGACTCTCGAGATGGTGGATCGCGTTGGTCGCTCAAAATAGCAATATCCCTCGCAGTTTGCTCACCTTCTCAACTACGTAACGTCGAACCATCGCCCAGTCGATATTGCACCGGAATTTTTTATTTCCCTCGGAAGGAGTCGAACCCATACAGAAGGGATTACGGCATAGAAAAGGACCTGAGTTAATTGTCCGGTCATGTTCTTGTCCATTTCACCATTCACCATTTCCCATTTACAAGGCGTAGAAAGTTATCTAAATACACGGAATGGAGTTACTTCTAGGATTCGAAAGGATTTCATAGCAGCAGTAAGTCCGGGAAGATGAATTTCCCTTGAACCGGGGAAAATTGCGAGGTCTTCTCACCAACCGTCCGATCTGAATACCGCAGCTATCTGCCACCGTGGTAGGTGTGAACCCAGTAAGTCTGATCTTTTTCGCAGTCATGCGCACTCCCGACTGTGATATCTGACGATGTTCTTCAAACACATGAACCATCCCTCTAATACGGAGCAGACTCTGGTCAGAGCATACGGAGAGCCCGTTCACGCGTGTGTCGAGTATGATAGACCAGGATACGACAAACGAACAATGTCGATCCAAATTATCGGCAGGTGAACTTCTCGAAAATCCCTCTTCCAACTTTGACTTCACAGTATCGCTGAGAAGATAGTCGAAGCCCTTGACTTCGACGTCGCGCATTAACTTAGTGAGCATGGACGTAGGAAGCGATTAACTGGACCATGGTATTATATTATTCCTGAAGTTGGGCTAGATTGTGAGAGGTTTTTGACGGGCTGTCCGGTGGTGTAAATATGTTTACCGGCACAGACAGTCATGGACGGCACTGTGTGCACAGCACTGGGAGTTTAGGGTTCAAGCGGAGCTGAGGCCCGCTGAGCCCTCGATTGGATCTAATTCGAAGGCTGAGATGGACCGAAGCCCGTCGCAGCCCTAATTTGGTTCCAGCGTTCGTCTCGCACATTCTCTTTCTCTCTTCGGAGACTCGTCCGAATTCCTTCTTTCCCTGTCCATCCGTCGAAACACCCTCTCTACGCTCCTTGCCTCCGGTACGGTTGAGATCGAATTGTGAATGTTGTAATTCAGGATTGTTTGATCAGTCAACTCGATAGATTGCAATACAGGGCCCGAGGGATGCTGCCGTAAGGGGTTGAATTGTCGATTGATTTGATCGTGTTAATTGCAGGACGCAAGGTGCCACCATGTTTACCGCACGCAGGAAAATCCAGAAGGAGAAGGGTCTTGAGCCTGATGAGGTCGAAGAAAATGTAGCGCAGGCATTGTTCGACCTGGAAACGACCAACCAGGAGCTGAAGAGTGATCTGCGTGATTTGTTTATTAACTCCGCAAAGTACGTACTCATCCTGTGTTCCAGCTCGGATGTTTTCGCACACGGTGTTTTTAGGGGTTCGTAGTGTTGAAATGAATGCTGATGAAACGTCCTTTGGCGGACAGGGAAGTGGATGTTTCGAACAACAGGAAGGCCATCATCATTCATGTCCCGTACCGTCTGAGAAAGGCTTTCCAGAAGATTCACGCTAGACTTGTTCGCGAGCTCGAGAAGAAGTTCAGCGGCAAGGTAAGAAGCAGATGTGCTCGATGTTCATCAAATTGGGTCATGCTTTGGTGGCCTCTCCTCCTTCTCTTCTGCATTCCTCAGTTTACTGAATTTTCGTCTGTCACCCCAGGATGTAGTCATCATTGCTACCAGGCGCATTTTGAAGCCACCAAAGAAGGGAACCGCCGCATCCCGCCCAAGGAGCAGAACCCTGACCGCTGTGCATGAGGCAATTTTGGAGGATTTGGTATTCCCTACCGAAATTGTGGGCAAGCGTGTTAGATATCGTCTTGATGGATCAAGGATCATGAGGGTAAGTCACTACTCACAGCTCTTGTCGTCTCTATTATTCAGTTTTGCCGTAAGAAAGAATTATCAAAAATGGGGTTGTGACACAAGTTTGATCCTTTAGGTGTACCTTGACCCTAAGGAGCGCAACACTACAGAGTACAAGCTGGAGACTTTCGGTGGAGTCTACAAGCGATTGACAGGAAAGGAGGTTACCTTTGAGTACCCCGTACAAGAAACTGTTGCTGCAGCTTAGAATGGGTTGGTGTTACCGGATACTCCTTTAGCAATGGCGGGTGTTCCAAGTTGTTCAAACCCGTTTTTTTTGCCGAGCACGGTCTCATTTAAGAAATTGTATGCTCAAATGATTTTGACATGTTCGGAGCCTTTGGTTATATGACATGGTCTTTTAGATCGGTCCGGAAATCGGCCGTTTTCCGGAGTTATAGTTCTATGAGAAACTACATTCATCTATGGTACTCACTAATCTGGAAACCTATGTACCATGCTGGCCAACAGGTAAGCAAAATTTTTCGGTGGTGCAAATAGCAGCTTTTCCCTTACATACTGCTACATAATCAATCTCATCCCCATCAAATGAAAGTCTTTCCAGTCGATTCTCGTTTAGCTGATTATCATCAGTGTCTCACAGAAATCATGAATTTACTCAATGGAGGCCCCTGTTGCATGTCTCCGTTGACCCCAATTGGCGGTATTTAAGTCTCCAGATCACCCGATGGTGTTTGTTGGTTTTGAGGTTTTTGTGCACACTAGCCGGTATAGACTGATGGAATTTGAGCTATCTATGTGGAGCCCCCAATATTGAACACAGGGTCGAGCAGGATCAGCTGACCTTATAGCTGCAGTGAAGTTACGTTATCTTGCAGGTCACTAAATTTTTTTACTTGTGTACATCAAATCATGAGCAACAAAGGGTTTTGGTTGTGGTAGGTCACTTGCAGGTGAAAATTATTGACCGTATGGAATTTCCTACTTCCAAGGCGTATCTGAACGTTTTCCTTGTTATTTTAAGGCAGTCTTCGAAGGGTGGCTGTATCCTTGCATCTGGGTTTCTGAAGATCTGCGGTGCCCCCTGCTTATATTTTACATCACTGACACTAGTGTAGATTATCCATAGCAAAAGATACGGTAGTGTTATATACGTGGTCATTACATGTCCTAAATAAGGAGGTCAAGATTGAAAAGTATGGGTCAAAACTATGAAGTGATCTGTAACTTGGGGGCGTTCACCCGTGCCAGTTGATAGCGGTAGAGGTCAACATACTTTCGCTGACACATGCCATGTTTGGTATGAACCATTTCGAAGTGGTTTTGTTGAAAACATGAAACGTTGGGAGTGAAGAAATGATCGTCAAGATCATGTAATAGTCGATACCTTGCTGAAATATGTTTTACGAATATTTTTTCTTAACGACACGAAAGTTTGTATACGAATAATTTCTTGCTCCCGATTGAAACGTGAGAACAATGCAACACACATCACGGAAAAGTGGGAAGTACACAAAACTGGAAAGAAGAATGTATGAACACACGGGAAAATACAACATAATTTAGAACAGTCTGCACTGAAGCATCTATTGTAATGGTAACTATTTTGAACGATTAGGGTGAAGGAATGAACTGTATCATTACTCCTAATGATTGTTTGCACAACTCAAAATCTACATAGTGCTGACTACAAACAGAGGATGAAGTGTCGAACCTACACGTCACATGTCGACAGTAAGTATATCAATATCTTCAATGTCCTCTAAACTGTAGCCGGTTTAAAATCTCCGATTGGTGATATTCACACGCGACCGATGTAAGAAATAAGCATGTGATCAAACAACTAGAGATAAATAATACTGATATTGTATGCCACTTTCCATGCAGTCCTTTCAACTAGACAAATATGGTTTATTTCCCCCCTCCTAATGTATTCCCATGGGCTACAGGATGAAATTGCAGTCAGACAATTGCCTATCAACACACCTTACACTGAAAAATTAAGCTGACATCAGTGTATCAATCCAAGGATGTACTGTCACAATCTCCTGTCAACTACACTTGCAAAAAGAGAATGATAATAAATTAGCTAATTCTGACGCCAAGAACAAATATTCTGTTTGTGTCTCATGATAATACGCAGTACGATTACAATATGAGAACTTGTGAATTTGAAGTTTCATGTTCAATTTGAACTGACCAAAAATTGTATATGTAAGTTATAAGTATGATCAAAATTAGATTCAAACATTTTCAGCGATGAATATGCTGCTTTCTATAATTTTCAAACCATTGATAGTGATAGATCAATAGGTAAGTTCAACTAAGAAATGAGAATTTCTTGCATTAATTCATAAAATCTCATTCTTTGATTATTATATTAAAATAGCCATATAAAAAATCACACGGTAGTTGCAATATATAAAATCATCACCCTATGGATAGTTTATACATGAAATGATGGACAATAACTGAATTCTTTGCATTTTACTATATTAAACATTCTTATTTTGTGGAAGAGATTTAGTTTAAAGTAAGAATATATTAGAAATGATAATTTTATAATGTTATACGGTAGTTTTTTAACTATATAGTATATTTCTATTTTTCAGTATAGAGTTGCTGAAAAATCATCATACGAAAGGTTGCACAGAAAAAAATAATTATATTATATAAGTTGGACCGTATAAAACTTAGTATTGAATTTCAAGACATTTATCCAACTTGCATGATTTCTTGAACGTTGACAATTTAAGATGCAAGGGAAGCTAACATTAGAATGCTTCAGATAAGCTGATTGAAATTTGATTACATACTGGGATGAGATTCTATCTATATTATGCTACTTAATCAAAATGCAACAATATGTTATACCATCATGATTTGAAATTTTTTATCCTTTTTCGTGTAAAGTACAGTACACATATACAAGATATATTGAGAATAAAAAATAAATAAATTCATTGTAAATGAATCTTTTTGTTCGACACAGTTCTTTTTTTGCACAAAGAATTGGACAAATGTGAGATTATTTGTTGTTTCTTGTTACGAGTGAAAAGGTAAATTTTTTTTGATGATTTGATGGACACGCTAGCTGCTGTAATACAGGCGAGGACTGCAAGATTTTTGGCCAAATTTCTTTCCTCTTATTATGGAAGTGATGAATTTGGTTTAGTTTGAAAAAGTCATACAAAAATTTTGCGACTTGATATGTGTTGATGAAAGTATAAGAAATGTGGATGTAACTCTGTGTGGTTTAACCAAATTGGCGTAATTAGTATGATGCACACTGGTATGCATTATAAGAACTTACAATAAATAAGATTATACACCGATAACGGAAATGAGTGGAGTAGAAATAGAAAGAGTAAAAATGAGCGTTGTATTCAGTTTTTTTAATAAATTATAACAAGGCGAGATAAATTACTGTTATCTTTTATCAACTCAAGTAATATCCCGGAAACTTTTAGCCTCTCAAACCAACTCTGCATGTGCCAACCTATAACTGGATATACTGGAAAATTTACATGAAACCCTCACAAAGGATTTGATCACTCCTAAGCCAGAGTCAAAGTTGGGAAACGTTAGAGTTCGCATGAGATGATGCATGGTTAGTTCATTGGCACGTTTGTCCTGACTATTTGTTCGTTAAAGGGAAGAGGATTGATTTTGAATGGAAAATTTTGATACTCCAGAAATGACAATGGTGTCATTTGTGAAGTATCCGCAAAAATGCAGCTGCCTGGTCCTCGATCATCTTAGTGTGTGTGTGTGTGTTTGCAGCGGAATTCATTGAAGTGGTAACACTCCCTCTTTCGTAGAAAACTAATTCTTCTCCTTCCCATTCATGATGCTTAAAAAACCTCTTATTGATTGTCCATACCCCTTCTTTAACTTCATGAATAACTCTGTCCGGTAGATAGATAAATAATGATAATAAGATGCGTGTAAAACCCCTAAAGTCCTATAAGTGATAAATTCTACATAAACCAGGGACTAGGCCGGATAGTAAAATATAAACCATTTAGATTACCATAAGTATGTTGATAAAAAATTGGATAAACACGATATCACGGTAAAATAGCAATGTTATACAATAAAGTAGAGAAAATATTAGCATTGGTGCTTACCTCAATCTACAGTAACATATGTAGAATCTGAATCCATAACTCAAATTGTAAAGTTTCATAGAGCTTAACTTTCTACAAATATGTTCCAATATACACCAAAGGGTCATAATCAGATACAGAGACTACGTTGAAACAAGTGCATCACTTCCCTCCATACTCTTCGTCAACTAATCTGACTTAGTCTTGTCACGATTGGTCAATGTTCATTTTAGTGTTTGAACTCAACCTTTAAGTTCCATTAAAAAATGTAAGCCAACGAAATCATCCATATGGTTAACAAAGGGAGAGTACTAAGACTTTGTCTTATATTGCGTACCCTATATTTTTTTTGGGTTGGGTTTAAATTTGTTGGGAAAGTACTAAGACTTTGTCTTATATTGTATACTCTATAGTTTCTGGGTTGGGCTTAAATATTTTGGTAGAATCATGAGACATTGGAATAATTTTGTCTTAGAAATCTTAAATGCTATTATTATTCTTTCAATGTTGTGGTTCTATATATATATATATATATATATATATCCATCATAGTTCTCAAGAGTTGATGAACCATGTTAAAATTAAAAAAAGGAACTCCCAACATCCAATATACTCTTGATAAGTGAAGAATTTGAAATATTTCACATTCAATGATAATTGGTTGTTTATAATAAATAATTAGTGATAAATTTATCTATATGAAGAAAAAGCATATTTCAATTATCATCTAAGTGTTAAAATATGGAAGACATTCGCAGTAGATTACAGGGATATCAAAATTTGATGGTATCAACCAGTATCAGTTTTCTATAGAGAACTCAAGATGCCTGGATCCACATGAGACAATCGCTTACTAAGTGATTATTCACTTGATTTGTAGTAAGTAACCAGTTTGACCTGCATATTTAATCCCGCGAAGATATTGGGACTAGCCCCCTGAATTCAGTGAATTTCATCTGTATATGAATATACTACAGTAATACTCTAAGGATATTGTTCAAATTCTATAGACAAAACAATTCAAGGAATAATCATGTGACCGAATGAGACGTTCTGAAGATTGAACGTCGTCGTCAGTATTGCGCGGGAAGTGACGTTGCGGTTCAAATGTGGGGGAGACGCACGAGGAGTCTGCAGGAGACTCGCGCTCGTTCTTATGACGAGGAGATGAACTTTGCACCACAGGCAGGAGTCTCGATGCTCGATGTCTTCACCTTGCGGGACCCGATGCCGTGCTCTAAAGAGCCCGTGGAATTGGGTGGATTTCGAATGAAATATGTGAATTCGGAACGAGGTTAGACGCGACTGGCCTGAGAATCGGTGCAGGCTGACGGGTCTTCGAATGATGCCATGGCTGAGGGCTGGGATGCAGCCGATGACGACCTCGAAAGGCTTCTTGATTTTGACGATCTTGAAGCTTCTATAGTACCCAAGTCCTGCAAGACTCTGGCTCTGCCTGAAACTGAGGAAGCCAGATCCAAGAACTCGTCTACACCCCATCCTTCGTTCTCTCTGGGTGTTCACTCCCACGCTACCAGGAGAGATACGGTTGATTCATCTGCAGTCGCTAAGGGATTGCGATCGTTGGCTGTTGCGCCACTTGGGGAGCGCCCAAGCAGTGGATCCCGGCAATTGGATTCACAGGTGGTTGTGGACCAGACGTGTAGACTTGACAATGAGGTCGCAGGGAGCCGAGCGGATCCAGTGGAGATTGGTTCAGTAGGAACTCCAAGGATCCAGCTGTCTTCGTCGAGGGGAAAGGCTGGTGCATTATCAACATACGAGAACAGGCCCAGAGAACTTCTGACGGTTGAGAATTCCTCAATTTTACCAGCCCATGGTGGATCTGATGATGAGCAGAGATTTGGGGAAGGAAATAATCATGAAGCCAACGGAGGAGGATATCCAAATACTACTATCACAAAATGCAGGCAAGGACGTGGATCTGCTGAGCCAGTAATCGAAGAAGATGTCTATCCCGAGCGCGTCTGTGAAGGAAACGTCTCACAAGGCGTGGGAATAAACCCAAGTGGGACCAATGTTCAGAACGGAAAGAGCAAAGACTATGCCCATAGTCAAGGACCTCGGAGGGCTGGGTCAGAATTTAAAGGGACAGAGGCTCCACTTCCGAGGAGTGCTACCTCCTCTGGAAAAGCTGGTAAATCGCTGCAAATCACACAAGAAGTTCCTCGTAAAGATGTGCCCTCTGTGTCACAAAGGGGTTTTCCAGGAGGACATTATGATCGCTGCGATGAGGACACAGGACAACATGAAGCTGATCCTTCGCAAAGTGAAGATACAGATGGGCTTCCGTATAGGATTCCCGGTCCAGCTGGGGCACTCCAAAAGAACTTTCGAAAGAGGACCGCCCACGGTTTATTCAAGACTCGTCGATTGTCAAATGACTCAGCTTCACAGTCCGATACTGCCGATTTCATGGAAGGGCCCTGGATCGCCGCTATGGATTTTCTAGACAGTGGAGGTAAGGTGTATACAGGGAAATGGAACGACTTTTCCAAGTGTTGCACGTCCATCCCGTCCAATGACTGCAAGAAAACATCCAAAATTGATATTGTTTCCAGTGCCAGTTGGTTTACCAGTGAACTTCAGTACACTTCTTGGTCGTAGGCAGTGGACGTTGTGTCCAAGCCAGTTACACTGGTAAAACAAGATAGCAATTTACACCCTTCCTCTCATGGTTCACACAGGTTCAACACCCTTGCAGCAGGTAATGATAAGCGCGCTAAAAAGTTCCAGCAAACACCTTGAATACATTCCTGAGGTACTTCTTACCCCTTTCACTAATGAGATGCGGGCAAAATTATTTGCAGTGTACAGTTGTCACCATGATAATCTTGATAAACTTAACACTCACGTTTTGAATTTGTGAGTACTGTTCAATTTGGAGCTCACCACTTCGTTTTCAGGGACTGAATTGAATTAGACTAAACAGGCATTTCTTTCGCAGGTTGTTGCGATCATAAAGACCGTCGTGCCTAATGGCTTCGGAGACGTGTCCGTGGTTCTCAAGGTTAAGCACTTATTTTCTCGGCAAGGTGTGAAAAGATCAATGCTAGCAAGGGATTTAGGCGTTTACATGGTGCCATTCCTCCAGTTCTTTTCTGGGCAGTATGTATGAAATTGAGTTGTTGTGCCCAAAGATGTCGTTTTCTTACCTTAATGAGTACTGGGAACATCGATTTACCTTGGCACCTAACTTATGAGGGTTGAAATCTATTACAGGATCCTACTGGAACAGTCAATGGATGTATCCACAGAAGTGTGTTGACTGAGTCAAAATATAGCCACAGATTTGTTCCGGGTGCTGTTTTGATCCTCCGCAAGGTAATTGTAGATTTAATACACGCAATTTAGAAATAGCATACCAATTAGGTGCGTCAGTTTTTAGTGATTCTTCTTGGTCTGTTTTCTGAATAGCTGTGGTGATCTTACAGGTAACAGTTTTCAGTCCCAATCCGTATGCACATTACGTCAATATCACGAAGCAAAACGTCTATAAGGTAAGTATCGTGTTTCATGGAGGCAGCAGTGCATCCAATGGACATATCCACTCGAATTAGCACTACTTTTATCACTGGTCTCGGACCGTCGAACTCTTCACCTGTTCAGATTCACCAGCTTCGTTTGATTGGTGGATCTGATGTTCAAACAACCCGTGCAGGTTTTCGGAAGCGAAGTTGGCGTTGTTAGATCTCAACCAAGAGTCATCAAGGAGAAGTTTGGAAATCTTCAAGGTAAATCTCGCAGTTGAAACGATTTGACCTAGTAATTTAAATTCACTTATTATCTCCTTCATATCTTGTCTTGCCCGGTTCATCTCTGTGCTTTCCAGTAATTCTTTGCTGCTGAGATTCTACAGAGCTTTCACATCCGTATACTCTCCTATACCAACTTTCGTCTCCTCGTTTTTCTGTCTTCATGCTACTCTATCTCATGATCATATCTCTGCAACCTTTTCTCCTTAACCGTGTTAGATGAAGTGAGGATTGGTTGTAGGGTTCATGTATGGCCACTGATTTTGAATGGAATCTCAACAACATACCAATTAAATTTCATAAAATTATGTTCATTTTCAATTTGTTCCCACACGCTTCGGAGCTGTAGTAAAGGAAGACTTTCAGTTAAGTAGATTCGTTGACATTGTTGATATCCTGCACACTTCAGGTAACAAGGATGAAGGCCTCGCAAACCGATCAGAACAGCTGTTAGACACTGCAGTCCACGCTCTACGGGTTGGAGACCCACTAGTACTTGGGACCACCTCTGAACATCTAAAGCGCCAACAAGATGGAAACCGGCTTGACACGAATCGTCTTAATCAAACTTCCATTCCGAGGTGCACAGGTGCACGGTCGGACAAGAGCCTTCAAAATGCAACACCAGCAGGGACTTTGGAAGACTCACATAATTTGCACTTGCCAGTGGCATATAGAGACGTAAGTCATACAAAGACATCGGCGCAGGTTCAAGTCACCGACATGCTAACAACGCAAGATTTAGAGGAGGAAGCTACACAGGAGGCTGTGGTAGCTGCAAAAGCGAAGGCAGCTGGATGGGATTTAGGGGAGGATGTAGAACTGCTTCTGAATGATGACTTGGATGGTTTCGTGTTTTAGGATCGGACGAACTGACTTCATGTCATCTATAAACGTGTATACGGCAATTGGCATATCCTACAAGGGATACGACATAGGTTCTAGAACATAGGTAGAGTTTTGTGGACAACAGCGTTCGGTGAAACTGTGGAGGTTGATTCGCTAAACGAGCTTACACACTTTTGCTGTCGTAACGAGTACGTTTTTACACGCACTAAAAAGTGTTCGGCCAAACTGTGGAAATTGATTCGCTAAACGAGCTTACATGCTTTTGCTGTCGTAACCAGTACATTTTTACACGCACTAAAATGTCTACGCTAGCAGTGGAATGTATGTCGATGACAGTTACGCAAAGCCATCAACATGCACTACATCAAACGCGCTAAGGTACAGAGTAGGCTGGAAGGTGAGCAATTTCCATTCCTCCCTCTGAATACTTTGTGGTCCTTTTCGCATCAAACAACAAAAAGGAGGGACTATAGAGATTATGTCGCTGCTAATCAGCCAGTGACGGAATTGGCCGAAACCGAGAGAGGCATGTGTACTACATGACTATTGCTTCCTGTCCAGATTACGGATCCGAACGTGAATGATTGGACTGTGCTGGCAGCTCTGAACGTAACCCGGAAAGTTACGGTTCCACCTGGCTTGATGGTGAACACGGCTGGACTTACAGCCACTACAACCCCTCCAGGATGATGTACAGCAGAAGTGTACGTCTCCTCCCAATCAGCTACATTGGTCACAACTCGTCTCACTGTTCGCGTTCCGATCAGGTTTGCTATAGTGATGGAAGGAACATTCAGGTCAGAGGACCGCGCTCCGGGATGTGTTCTACACGTACCTCCAGTGGCATCCTGGACTGTGTTGGCATCTGCTCCTGGTAGAGTGCACAGAAAGTTGATATGATCCTGGTACTCTGTGGGGCAACACCAAAGGGTCAATATGTCAGTTACCTTATAGCTGTCCGAGCTGATATCCCCAAGCGTTGATATGGGACATTACATTATGTTGTGTTGACGTCACGTACCTGTCAGGAAGGCCAGCCCTGGATCTAGAGCCGCAGTTGGATTTACAGCGCCGTATCCGAAGTCGAAAGGTGTGCCTGGTCCGAGCAGAAGTGAAGCATTTGTGGATGGTTGCTGGGCGAGAAGACGTCTCCTTCTTGTGTCCTCCTGGGTGGCAGACGTCAGGATTGCCGACTGTATAGCGGAGACACACCATTCTGGGTGCCTCTGCCTTAGAAGGGCAACGACTCCTGCTATGTGAGGTGTGGCCATGCTTGTCCCCGACAACAGGGCAAATTCTTGACCTGTTGCAATTTCAATACCATGTCAGATCAGGCGATGGTAAATGAATGTCACGCAGGCTGAACACTCACGAGGCTGAGTAGTAGTGTGCTGTATATCCAGATCGGGTGATGACGAAATAGGTGGCTGTGAACCTGCTGTCACCCAAAGGGACTCACTAGTAGACTCTATTCTGAGTATCAGTTTTGGAGTCTTACCGCTGTAACCGTTCATATCAATTCCCGCTGGACTCCATGCTCCCCATATTTGATTACCAGGGGCTAGAATGTCGGGCTTCAGTACATCTGCTATGACAGACGTCACTGTGTTGGCATATACTGGACCTCTCGCAGAGAAAGATGATACTTGAGGTGCCTCAACCTTGAAAGATGCTTCTCGCGAATCTGTGAGCCGTGCATATGCTCCAAACTCGTAGATATATCCAGTTTTGTTCTTCTTCGTCTTCAGCTTATAGTAGTCCAGGATTTCCTGCACATGTGTGCAATGGACACGTGACAGAGAACGGTTACTGCCAAAGAAAGAGGAATTTTCAGAATTCATTTGCGTGTAGTGAGTTTCAGGTAAGGCTCTTATGTCTTCATACTAAGCTGCTTCAGGTTAGCTCCTGAATAATTAGGAGAACTATTACCGATGAAGCATTTGCATCTGTTACGAAGCTCGCCGGTAGATAGAATGGAATAGGATCAAATGTGCTGCCTTTCTCGCGACCAATATCAGTGGGCTCTGTCAGAATAATAAGCCCCACTGCACTCAGGTTTTTAGCTGTTGCAAGAGCAGCTTGAAACTGTGCAGCTGCACCTCCGGAGTAATACTCAACGAAGTTGCACATCAGTATTTTACCCTTCACAAGCCTCGCATTGAAAGGAGCTGAATCCTGGCAGTAAGAGAAATACTCAGCGTCATATGCACTCGTGCTGTTCACGAAAGCATCTTCGGCGTAGATTAGCGGATAAAACTTTTCGTCCGGAGTTCCAGCTGCCATTTGCACATGCCCTTCCAAGTTACAAGTCTCTCAATTGAGCTATTGCTATGCATAAGGATTATGGTTCATTCCGAAACAGGCAGGAGGGGTTGCCTTATCTGAGTGCTCAAACGCTCGAAGTTTGATGAGATGCAAATTGCAAACTGCAGTTCATTCTGAAGATTGACAATGGGCTCAATGAGTCCGGGTTTTCTTCGATTCAGTCATCTGAGGGCAGAAGGGTGTTGGTATACCTGAAAATCCTGCTCCGGGAAATGCTCCTGCATTTTTTAGGATCACCGGGTTTGGGTATGAACGGTCACTGATTCCTGCAGCGACAGATATGACCCAAGGGCCGAAGGAGTTCATACTAAGTGGGTACGGTCCATTGTTTCCCGCTGCATGAACGACGACAACTCCTGCTTTAACTGCAAACAGAAGGGCTACGTCGAATGTGTTCAAGGCCGGCACTCCATACGTTCCACTGGTAGACCCGAGAGATATGCTGAGGACGTGCACACCATCTTGCACGGCCTGAAATCAACGCACATGGGACTACATTAGTATTTGAAAGTGAACTTCACGGTGCCTGGTGATAGTGGCGGTCGAGAAAAGCTGGATCGTGGCTCGTGTACTCTAGTACTGGAGCTGGACTTGCGAGCCTGGAGAGATCAAAGTTCAGTTGCAGGGTAGCCACAGCACGTGCTAATGGAGGGGATCTCAAGACTGGCGGTATGAATTTTCTTCACCTTTCAACACTCGAGCTCTTAGAGAATTGCATGGAAAGAGAAGGACAACGAGTGTACGTACTAGTCAACAGAGCTTGCAGAATTGACGTTCTGAAAAAGTTTCTGCTCCTTGGACTGATCGTTACAAGGAAAGAAGCCTCTAACAGACCGACACGACATACTGATGAGCTGCAACTCAACTGACCTGATCGATACCGGCCAATACATCTGATAAGAATCCACCATCGCGATATATGACTTTATAAATTGCTAACCTGCAGTTGAGACGTAATGCTCACGTATCAACAAGTGACTTTGCAGAAATCTCAAGTACTTGATTTTTAATTGCAGGCGCAACTGTCGTAATCTCATCATTGTAAGACGTGATGATTGCAGCAGGTGGATGTTTACCGCGCTCTAGGTGCAACTCCACTAGCGTAGCCGTAGTTGTGATCGCGAACAATCACTGGAACTCCGCGATTTCCCGCTGCGATTGAGCTCGTGTGTCTGAATCAGAGCCAAGATAAAAGCATAATCCATCCCGTATGAGGAGTTGCTACAGATACACCAGAACTTTTCATCTCATGCATTATGAAAGGAAGGTATATGAATCTTGATTGGGCACCAGAATCTGAAACTGAAGAGCTTAACTTACATGATCACCACCGAATAGAAACATGGGAACTAGACTCTGGAATCTGATTTTGATCACGACTACTTCATTGTCGATGTCTGAGTGAGCCTACTTCTAGTGGTTACTCGTACTTGGTGGACCACCACCACTACACCCATGAAAGGGTGCTCACCACAGAAATTTTTGACGAATTTTTTTGAAAGAAGATTTTGGCGTTATGAAGAAATCTTAAGGGCTCACATATGTCTGACTGTCTTCTGCTGCTGATATTCCATTGTCAGACTGATAGCATGTAAAGTGACTAGCGAAGGATGAGTACTCACGTTCCATGTCCATCTCCGTCAAGCGGGGAAGCAAAATCATATGTTGCATTGAACAGGTTGGCGGCCATGATCCCTTTAGCAAAATATTGAGCTCCAACGATCTTGTTGTTGCACGACCCATCTGGAAAAGACACCGATAGAACACATTTTCCCCTCCAGTTTTTAAGTGGGCCATAACCATCCGAAGAGAAGCTAACATGGCTCGGATTGATTCCTGTGTCCAGCATTCCTATCACTATGTCCTCGCCAGCATGCTCTGCTCCTCCGGCCAATTGCCACGCCCCATAAGGCAGACCGAGGAATTCAGGAGTATGAGTTGTCGCTTTGCGGAACAAACTTTCTTGCTCCACGAAAAGTACATCCGGATGGCTTTTGATGGCATTCGCCTGTCATAAGATGATTCACCAGATAAGCTGAAGACCGAGAAGCCTGGATATTCAAACGAGAATCATCTCTCTGAGCTTTGCATCTGGGTTTGCTCGAGTTCCGTACCTGGTCGCCTCCCTCTCGGAGCTGAACGGATAAAGCATTGAGAAGGTACGTGTAGCTGTACAGTTTCTCGTAGCTGTTCGGTGCCAGAACCTGCGCCAGGAAGTTGTCGTGTGATGACTTCAGATATTCAGCATATTCCACGGGCTGGAATTCGAATCTGAAAATTGCACAGACAAAGCTTTCAGGTCATTCATTGCTCCACGTCGGAGTGCATAAGTGAAAACAGAATGCTCGTCTTGCGCATACTTCAACTCACGGATGATGACAGAGCCATTTACAATGAAAGTTTGGGGGCAGAGGGCAGTCTCTCTCGTCAAGATCCTGAGAGATAACAAACTCTCTCGCACATATATGAGCCCATTCTTTGCTGCACCATCGATCCAACACATGTTGCATAGCTACATGCAACTCGGTATCCCGTTCGATTACGAGTCCAGGGACTACCATAAAAATGGAAGAACATCCACAACTTGCAAGATGCTATCGTCACAGACGTTGTTCAGGAAAAGAAACTTCCATGGAGGCCAAGACATTTCGGGTGTAGAGGTATTTAGTGCACGTATACGAGATTTACGAGATTAGCATCGATTCTTTGTGGAGCTCTTTAATGAAAGATCAGGTCTGGTTACCGGATGCTTCAGGAATGTTGCAGAGTTAATTGACAAGAAAGAGCTTCGAGCATGTATCAATTTAAGACCCATGTTTGGAGGGTTAATATCATTGGCATGTGATCTTATTGGCATCACAGACGTTCAGGACACCGTGGGCTTCAGCAAGAGTCGATAGCCAAGTTACGACTTCAGAAGCCCACGACGTCACTTGTTGCTCGCTCAGCTTAGCTTAAGAAGATGTTCTGGTGAAATGAATTGTCGTGAGAAACCTGCTAGAATTCGAGGAGAGGTCGGCCGCTGCAGTCGTAGCAGCTGCAGAAACTCGTTGCTGAACAGAGTCGCCTCTGAGACGCACTATGTATACATTGGACGACGATGTCGGTTCGAAAGTCGGATCCGAGGCCACACTTTGAAAGAACACAGTGGCCACAATCAGCACTACCATCAGATAATCTGCGGGCTGGACCATCTTTATCATTCCAGTGCACTTCATGATACTGGCGCTTCGCTCGCTCGGCCTGACTACCGATTCCACGATAAGTACCAAACCTTCACGCAAACATCGCAGCCAGCGGAGCGGAGCCCACCAAAACACCCTCAGACTTGGCTATGCATTATTATGCCGACGAGTAAGGCTCGATCATCCGACGTCGACGTGATCAAGCCTTCGTCAGATGTGGATGGATTGAGCTGCAAGTCCACTTCCTAGGTCCATGCCCCGCCTTCGCAATAATCGCACAGGACCAGACTTCACCAGATCAGATCAGATCAGATCGATCCGTCGGTGTCGTAATTCGCCATGCACTCGCCGCGCAAGGGCCGGCCTCATGTTCATTTCTTGCTGGGAACGATTGAGCAAGCCCAGAGGAACTCCAAGATCGACGATCGGGGCCCTGGGGATCTTGAATCTAGCTGGGACTTGCGAGGGAGGGAGGGAGGAGTCTTGGAACTGGGACCGAGATGGAGATGGAGATGGGCGGGGGAAATCCGGGCACAGATCCTTCGCATGGCCTAACGGCAGCTTGCGCGGGTGGTTAGAGCAGCAACAACAACTTCGAAATGTGGCCCCGTGGGATGATGAACTCCTGCGCTCGGAACGACGAGCTGCTGCGTTCTTTCCCCCTCTGTCGACATGCACTAACCGTCAGTCGGGTCGTGGTCAGGGATGGAACGGATCCGTTCCCGTCACGGTTCAGGACGAGTTTTCGACCGAATCGTCCACTCGTGTATCTTGGACGTGAGTGGCAAGCTGCATTATTCCTCTGCCTGTGCCTCGGGGCTCTCTCTCTCTCTGTGTCATCGTCCGCGACTAGTTTCTGATGTAATGTTGGTTAGTGTTGTTGTTCACGTGGCTACTGGCGGCCATGCTTTGCTTTCGCTGCCATTCACATTCCCTACGGAAGTGGTGGTGGTCGGAAGAAAGGTCCATGATGTGTTTCATGTCCTTCGGCAGGTACTTGACCAAGGGCTTACATTCATTGTTCCCGATTCCTGTAATGTAGTAAGTTCAGCGCTTTCTCGGGCAAAATGGTCGGGGTGCTCGGGTTCGTCGGGAACACCTCCAGATTATTTCCTTGCCATAGTTCTTACAACACAGACACGTTACGTGAAGATGCGGGTTCTGTTTATTTCGAAACAAACAATTAGTTTCTCACAGAGGGTCCAACTGTTCGATAGTTCGATATACAGCTTTCACGTTTTCCAATATCTGATTGTGCACGTTTGGAAATGGTCGTTTTCTCCCAGTTTTTCCCATATGTTTAGCAGAGTATTCCAGTTTATTTCCTCTCAATTTTTCCTTGCACAGAATCCCCTGTATATTTTGGATGTTAGTCTTGGTGTCTGGCCATTCATGGCTATGACGTGCACGATGCTACAAGACGAAAGTATACATTGAGCTTGCCATACTTTACTGTGAGATTGTGAAGTATATAGATGCTGATAATTTTCATATTTCATTGAAAGTTATTATTTTTTATGGGCTGGAACGAAAAGTTTTTATAATAACTTTGTGTGTGGACACTGTTTGTGTGTGAACACTATCCTTACTCATGTGTGCTTAAATAATGTCAGCGATGAGTGGCGGTAGCGGTTCTTTCTGTGTTTACGTGTTATGATTGACGTTGTTTTTTCTTGCCAGTGAGTGGAAATTGTGCATCAGGCCACGATGTGGGTAATTATTCTTTACGTTTCAGAGCAATTGACCTTATCTTTCGCTGCTGTAGTTTACGATTTGTCTGTTTAAGTGATTTACTTTGTACTCTTAATCTATAGTGACTATGTGTGACAGAGACCAATCAACATGATATTTACTTGATGGTGGGTTTTATGTTTTCTTTACTTTCCTTTTGTTATTATAGATTACACATCTTATCAACTCATCATATTATAGCGGAAATATTAATATCTTTAGTTTGTCCTAACATACGAGGTTTGTTCTATAATTATTGTGAATTGTTCATATCTCATTGCAAGCTTTTATGAAAAAGGATATTTCTTCAGAGATCAAAATTCTGCACGGACATGCTAGTAGTCAACGCTGGAGTGATTCACACTTTCCTCCTGTTGTGTTACTAAGGAGATGTATACAGTCGCTACCATACATTTTCATTGTAAACTTCCTTCAAACTTAGGGGCAAAGATGGATACATTTTTTTCATTAAACTGGAAGTGTACTCTTGAGACAGCCTCATGTTCACCGCAGTTTCCATATACATTCCTACTGCCTGTCTCTCTTATTCTGCATCTTTCGTAGCAACAAAATAATCAGATCTTATCCTATATATCGTACGCCTGTTCACGACGTTTAACATAAATTGGGATACACAATGTACACAAGGACGTGGATTCTTTCCCGTTTACTCTCCGGCTCCTGTAATTCTGCCCTAAAGATCCGACACTATTCACATCTACTCTGCTGTACACGGGCTGGAATACCGTAAAAGGTAACTCATAGATTCTTGCTTGAGAATTATCCCACAATCCTCATGATGAAATAGATCCTTAAGGTGCCCATTTTGAGTAGGTCAACTATGCTCCTCCAACAAACGTTCACATCCTTGACTGGACACAACAGAGAGGCGCAACACGTCTTAAGAAAACACTTTTTGGCCTGGTTCCAGCAGCCCTGGCTAAGCAGACGGTTGAAGACCTATCTTAGTCTCCTTAGTTTTCTCAAGGCACACGTCGCAGCAAGCTTGCAAGCACAAAACTCATAGTGGAGTCGATTGTTGCAAGCAAGACGATGAGACATGTCACGACAATCAACGTGAGCACTGCCATTCTCACCTGCAAGAGATGTGGACGGATGTCAGAGAGGCATCTACTCAGGTCTTCAGATCGACAGTGATTTCTACAAATTTTGTGCATGATAAAAAAGAAAAGGACAGTATTTCGGTACGGAGATTTCAGAAAGTTAAATTAAAGATTTAAAATTGCACTAGCAGGCTAAAATGCTGAAACTAATCACACAAAAGAATCCATCGGGGGAAGTGGGGCAGGGATTCTTCAACTCACAACTGTATTCACGGTTGGCCATTCGATGAACTGAAGCTGTCCTGGCTGCTCCAACAAAAACCGACCGGCAGATGAAGTCCAACTGCAAGGAACCAAGTGCAACTTGTTGATTACTTGTTCCATCCAAAACAAGATTTATGGAAATTTCTACACGCGGTACCCGACAACAGGGTGACCCTGGACTCTTCGTATCGTTAACGGGGTGAAAGTGAATATATTTTACGCCAACAACACAGCAGCAAGATGAATCAAATAGCTACCTGAGAAGCTGATTTATAAGCCAGAACCACGCTGGTGTCCCCTCTGGTGTCCCCTCAGGTTGCGAATAACTGGGCCTTCGGTAACTAGCAGCAGCTGCAATCAACCTTCTCCCACCCTGTCTGGCCAGTGGAGTGAGTGAGTTATAGTTCGATTTGGCATCACTGAGCGGACAAACTCACGTAGTAACCAACAGCCAAGACGACCGATTTAGGCTCCGCCTTCCGTCGGTAACATTATCATACACTGTATATTCATATCTACGCGCTCAAATCTAGGGATGGAACTCTTCGGACATATGTTCTCCATTTTCTTAATATGCCCCGAACAGAAGCTCGTGGCATTTGTGATGGAATAAGGAACAATTAATGTGGCATAATCTTCTACACCCCAACAGAGGAGTTTTGAACTCACATGGGGCTCTAGGACATGCTTTCTCAACACACCCTTGAATCACAAGGTCTCAGGTTCGCTCCGACACAGGAGTGAATAGTTCAAGCCATCAGCAGACACTGGTTTTCAACAGATGGTTTTCTGTCCGCATCAAGTGAAGTGAATATCATGGGCCGTGAACAATCACCCTCTCGAGCCATGTTACAGGCAGAATGTGCTGGTGCACTGACATACAATGCGGACCTAAAAAGGATCTATTGAATTTGCTGAACAATGGGGAAAGAGACTCGGAAGGGACAATCTAATAAAATTTCCTCAAAACATGAAACAAGTAAACCTTTCGACAGGTAAGACAGATGAAAGAATTAAAACATGCGTTCCACAAACGGTTAAGAATTTTCCAGGGATACGAAACCAATGAGAAAAAACTTCTATCACAAACTTTTGAATCTTGGATATTCTTCGCGAGATGTACACGGGAAATTGGGCCATCAGGTAAATAAAATTTGTCAGCAGAGTTTAGTCTGTCCGCATCAAGTGAATAATCATTGGCCCATCCTTCTCCCTTCGTAACTCACAGAGTTCGTCTATTAAGCAAAATAAAACGGACCGAGTTGACAGAGGCGAAAGCATAGTAGAAAAGTCTCGGGGTCCGTCGACACAATCTAAACCTCGAGCAGAAGGAGAAAGACAATATCCTCACCTACCAGTAAAGCTTCCACCGTGAGGTTCGCTCTTCAGATTGTATTCTCCCCACAAACTTTGGTCCGTTCTGGTCCTCGGACACCGCGCAGCAAGACAGGAGACCAAAGGCACGAGAGATGGATGTCGGCGTACAGGCACTACGCCATTGCTCGCCAGAGAAAGGGACCCCATCGGCCTCGAGAGACTTGCAACCGCAGGGCCACCAAAAAATTCCATACCTGCTCAATCGCTTCGGCTGCGCAATCGAAGATTGACTATAAGCTCTCGAGTGAGGGCGTAAGTGCACATCTATGACCTAAAACCTGACCTCGTCGGCAGTAGCGTATACGGGATAGTCCGAATACGGTTTGGCTTTCGGATACGGTATACGGCGAAACCACTCTGGGAGTCTGGGTTCGTCCTCAGCCTCCTAAACCGGGAAGGGTTCACTTTCGAGGCTGAAGGGCTCGGCTTGGATTTCCGTTATAATCATCTCTCTTGAATAGCTGAGGGGAATCTATCAACCGAGCACATAGGTTCGATTTTGAGATATAGAGGAATGGACGCCGTAGCCATAATTAGAGAGGACAATCCACTCTAACTAGTGGTCCTTCGTGTGGAACAATTTGGTGTAAATGTATTGTATTTTCCGGTCTTGGTGAGAAGGAATAGGGGAAAAAAGGGTAGCAGCAGGTTGAGAAGAGGTGACTGAGTTAATATGCTTTGTTTGATCTCTATGATTCCTTCATGCAGGTTGGGTTTCTTATTCACTGGAGTAAATGTTTATGAACAAGTTATGAGGTGAATTAGCAATTAGCAGATAGCAGTCTGGATACAAGGCATCAAATATGCATTCACTTTATATATATCTCATATATTGTAGGAAATTGACATAACATGTATGAACGTATGCACTGTCATTATTTACACTTTAGACATGACAATTTGATCGATTACGAAAGGTCTTGTAGTGTTGGTTTGTCACGAAGTCATTAGTTCCAAATGGAGAGTGCATTACAACACATTGTTGCCTCTGTATTTGGACAGCTAACAGTTGTTTCGAGAGTTCAGAAAGAGAGAAGTTGGAAATGCTTTTAACTCCAATGTTACTGTCTGCCCTTGCGTTTATGATTCTCACTGAACTTACCTCGACCATATTCGATGGTAGTGGACTATGGTAAATGGACCAAGCCCGGGACCGTAATGGTCAAAAGCCTGAAAAACACGATATAAGCCAAAACCACTAACAAAAGAAAATAACCCAAAATCTAATTTTAAGTAATGCCAAGAGCACTAGAATGGTAACTAATAATGTCTTTAATATAACACCATTAATCAAAAATAACTAAATATAATGAAACTAATGTTCTCTATAAAATCTAATGTGTTCTTGCCTAGAACAACTAACAGATATACTCTCTTCATCCTCGACGTACCCACCCTCACAAATTCTACAAATAAATTCACTCCTGTAAAATGCTTGCTCGCCTCTGGTTAGGCTTGGCCACGGTCCGGACCGACGATTAACCGGTCCGACAACACATTCCCGATCGAGTCTTGAATCTTCACTATCCATGGGTACCAAAACCGTAGGTACCCAATTCGTGACTCAGTGTAATGAGAAAATTCATTATCACACCTTTAGAATGATTTCGGCCTCATTGCAAGAAGGAAATGTTTTGAGGGCCCCACACGAACCCTGAACCATTTACCATTTTTTTTTTTTACCTGAACTTCTCTCGTGAGCTGGTGATCGTCAAATTGCGCAAATATGTCACCTGTTGCTGTGACGATCGAGGCTTACAAGGTGGGACCTGTGCAAGGACCTATGACAGGATTCTGCTAAACGTCGTTGTCGCACCGTGGCACCCGCGAGTTCGTCGTGGAATGCACGCAAGAATTCGGGAGTTTCGCCGACCCGTCAAAATCAAGTGCTGTATTTGAGAAACTATTAGTCCACGAATGGTCCTTTGCACACAGTTCTTAACCGCGCAGAGCGTGTTAGGGTTGGCCACGATCCGGTCCGGACCGACGGTTAAACGGATAACCGTAGGGTAAAGTATAGGTTAACCCTTAACCGATACGGGCCAAGCCTGGACCGGTTAAACTATCGGTTAATTGGACCGGTTAACGGGTCCACGTTTTTTCCGGACCGGTTAACCATTAACCGGACCGTGGCCAAGCCTACCTCTGGTCAGCAGCGGTCGGGCTCTGTGCGACATTTCTCGAACCAACAAAGTTGGCCGCCACGCTAAATAAGTGAGGAACTAGATTAGCGGGAGGAACGTCCGTCCTGAAGTCTGAGACGGCCCTCGTCGCCGCCAAAGGATGAATCGAATCGCGCCCTGCGCAAACACTCCGCAGGCCGAGTGTTTGGATACTGGAAGTGAGCTACTGACGGGAAATTGGACACAATCGGCATAGAATCGACTTTCGATTGTCAGGAATTTTATGCTGCGGGGCCGGCGGTCGAAATCGCTTGGCTACAACATGATGGAGGATGGAGTGACAGAGGAATGGAGGTAGCACAAGGAGCAGACGCTGTCTAGAAGGTTGGGGTGGAAGTGTACAAGGTGAGTGTTGCTTGAGTGACGATCAGCTCGATGTGTCGGAGGTAGGACGGGACGCCGGGACTGTTGTTTTCTCACGAAGAGCTGCTTGAAAGTGCGGACGATGAGTGGCAACGAGAATTGTGAAGATTTGTCGAGATGGGCCGCTTCGAAGGGCATAAGTGATGCTCCTCGCGAATCTGCGACAACGTCTGATGGTCTGGGTCACTCACTCGTCGTCGCCAATTTCCCAGATGCCGGGGGGTAGGTTTCAACAGCGTTTGGACCTTCTGAGTCACAACCGAAATCAGGAGATTTCTTTGCAGGTAGTTGCAATCTAGAAACGTGGGACTCGCAATCACTGGGTGGTTTGATGAACAGCTTAAGGTCTTCTTCTTCTGCATTGTTTCGTTTCTTCATTTGTGAAGATTGGAGAGTCGGATGCCTTAATTCATAAGAAGAATAATAACACAAAAGAATGTGACCTTGAGTACCAGATGACATATATCATCACAATTTGCATCATATGCAAATATTCCTGCAAAATACCAATAACACACTTAGAGTAACTAAGAGCAGCCAGCATGTGCACGAAGGACAAAGTTATCCATCATAGATTCTAATGAGAAACCATTGTTATTGTACGGTGATTTTGAGAACAGAAGGGGCCTTGCGGCCAGTCGCAATCTTAAAGAAGGGGAGTTGATTCTAAGAGTTCCGAAGTCTGCTCTGATGAGCGTGCTCAGTGCCAAGGCCGATCCGCTGTTGTCTACTGCGTTAGCACGTCATCCTTGCTTATCTTCTGCTCAGGTTTCTGAAATTTCTGTATATTCCCTTCTGTTCGGCTACAAGGATTCTGTCTTCTAGGAATTGATGTATCCGTTAGCAACTTATTCACGTCTTTCTAGAAAACGTAAGTGCCCTTCGAATTAGTGGTTTCTCTTTGTGAAGAAATCTATTTGCTTACAGTTTCGTCATTGACAGCTTTTAAGCTTGAATTACCTTTAGGACAAAGCTGGGGAAGAAATGATGTGCGTTTGTTGACAATCAGCAGCTGCATTGTGCAGATACTTGCTGTGCACCTTTTGAATGAGGCAGCCAAGGGGAAGTCATCTACATGGTCACCCTACCTCATCCATTTGCCTCGAATTTATCACACGCTACCCTACTTTGTTGCAAACGACGTTCAAGCTCTTCAAGTACTTCCGTGATCCTTCTCGTCCATTCCAGTTGCATTGGTGAGTGTAAGAAAGGGTCGTGTCTGATAAAAAATCCAGGCAGACAAGAGGTGACTCCGTTCTTCAGTGTCGAATTTTTCTTAAACAAGCTGACGCAGGAATTTCTGTTCTTTCGTATTACAACGCTTAAGGCTATGTATTCATTGCTTTACAGGTGGAAGAAGCTCGGTGGGTGGCAGAAAAAGCTATAGAGAAGGCAGTGATGGACTGGGAAGGTGCAAAAGGCTTCATGCATGAGATTTCTCTACGTCGCCGTTTTATGTCCTTCAAAGCATGGCTTTGGGCTTCTGCCACAGTGAGTGAGTGTTATTTGCGCCCACTTCAGATGGAGTCACATATCAGAGCTTGCTTGAGAGGCCAAAGTTTTCCTTCTAAGCATTGAAAATCCTCCGTTGAAGGTTATCTAAAAAGGAGAACAAGGTGGTGATTAGTAAGATCAATTATGCGACCTCAACTTAGACAATCCATGCCGCAACCAAAAACAGTTTTAGTTGTTGATGTACTTACCTGCCCATTCCAGCATCCTGCAGATCAAGTCTGGCTAGACCTACAAGTACCGTACGAGCTGACATTCCATTTTGTGTGGGAATCCTTGTACCAAATTACCGCAGGTTTCTACTCGTACTCTCCATGTACCCTGGGATGAAGCTGGAACACTTTGTCCAGTCGGTGATCTATTCAACTATGCTGCTCCTGGGGAGTACGTATTTAATAGGAAGGAGACTGTGACCAACTCAGCAGCTGAGGATAATAAAGATCTGACAAGTGGTCACTCTCTTTTATTTAAAGCAGAGGAACTTGATGATCGAGATTCATGCTCAAATGGTCTCGAAGTAGAAACTGCCGAGGAGATGGCAGAGTCTGATTTTGATAACGATATCAGCTGCAACGGAGTGACGATTCGTGAAAGGCTCAGAGATGGAGGCTTTGAAGCAGATCACGGAGAGTACTGCTTCTATGCTCGGCAGGATTATCATAAAGGACAACAGGTATCAAATCCTTGCTATCAAATTTTTCGTTTCCTGTATGCACTAAGGTGATGTTCCGCAATAGATCCTTTTAGATCTTTGGGCCAGAGCTTCACGGATGTTCCGTTGATCTTTGCAGGTTCTTTTGTGCTATGGTTTGTACAACAACTTGGAGTTACTCGAGCACTACGGTTTTTTACTGCCTCATAATCCCAATGACAATGTCCACATACGCCTTCCAGACTCTGAAGAATTTGGTGTCGTTAATGGGAATCCTGGAATGTCCTTGGGAGGAACCACATGCCTTGAAATCGATGGAAGTCCATCTTTCTCTCTCGTAGCAGGTCTCCGGCTTCGTGCTACCCACCCTTTCCTACGAAAGAGCAAGGGACACTTCGCTTTAATGGGTAAGCAGATTTCAGTAGATTCAGACATCCTTATCTATCAATGGCTGGAGAAGAAATGTACATCTCTTTTAGCATGTCAACCTACATCTCTAGATGATGATTTAATCCTCAAGACAGTAGCCAGTTCTGCGCAAAGTTTTGCTGCAGTAGAAGATCTGGCTCTTTCACTCTGTGAAACCCCTTCGAAAGCACATGGGGATAGAGTTCCAAAGAACGTCGTTCATGAGATACAGAATCTAGTGAGTTCATGCACGTCAGCGAACGAAGACAAATTTGACAAAGAGGCGAGCTCTAGGACCAGGGAGAAGGACTTCCAGTTAGAAAGATGGAAACTGGCGGTAGAATGGAGAATCGGATATAAACAAATTCTTCACCGTTGCATACAATTTTGTGCCAAAAAAATTTCAATGTTGAAGCAGTAAGGATACAATTCGAGTTTTCTGAACAGGCGGGATTTGTGTGTATGGAGCAAAGATTGCTGAAATCTGTGAGAGACCATGTGAGAGTAGCTGAGAAATCTCTCAGCTATCCACGAATCTGACAGTGTTTGCCCGTATTTATTATCACATCGTTCAGAGCAGTTGCATAAGCCAGGACACTCGTTAGGGACAACCCTCGGCGTGTCCATTCGAAAGTGACGAGGGATCGCTGGTGTGAATGTCATAACAAATGGCTGCCATGGTTCGGTTCTCCGTCAATATAAATTTCGAATGACAAATATCCAATTAAATGTATTAATCCATGAACTTTCCAAGATGTCTGAAAATGTTTATTTTTTCTTTCATCATCCTCATATATTTCAAGAAGTTTTTTACACGCTAAAAATAGTAATTTTATCGTGAAATAAGTAGACGTATATAAATAATTGCAATTAATTCTCTTTAATAGTTCAATCAAGTAGTTTCAAGTGTGCCACATTATCCTCTCTCTCTCCATATAAAAAACATCACATGAAATCTACATCTTTAATGTATATATGTTTTAGAATAAGTAGTATACTATATATGGTCACGCGTGGTTGAATATTTTTCGAGCATATGGTAAAAAACCGAAATTCCTTCGACCCGCAGATTTCGAAAAAAATTACTAATACTTTCACGGAAGACATTAGGTTTGAAAACTTTTTTATTTAACTATTTCCTTTTCATTGTAAAGGTCACAACCTTTATAATAAATTAATAAATAAAACTACAAACAATGTTCAAAGTATGGTGGAATATATATAGAGAGAAAAGTGTAATATAATTACATTTGAAGTTCAGCTTTAAAGTTATATGTTATCTAAACTTTAAATACTAGTCAAAAATTTGGAAAGAGTATAAATGTTAGTAAATGTAACAATGTTAAGTGTCAGTTCAAATTGAACAATATAAACCAACAAAAATCTAAAATTTAAATACTAGTCAAACATTTGGAAAGGGTATAAATGTTATTAAATGTACCAGTGTTGATTGTCATGTTAAGTGTCAGTTCAGATTGAAAAATATAAAGTAACAAAAATACAGCGTAAACAAAGCAGCTGGTGTGAATAACATCTAAAAAATTGGATGTTCACTTAATAAAAAAATTAATGTGCTAATAGAAATGCATGTAGGCTCTTAAATATCATACTACTGATCACTCGTGATCAAAAAAATTATTTGATGTGATCCCATAGTAACTTGATGGACCCATCATGTATCGTTTTACCCAATGGTATCAATTGATGGCACACCTTCATCCAGTTAATAAAATGATTTATGTAAGACTATGCTGCATGCTATAGTGTGAGGAAATGATTGCTTGAAAATTCCAACTTGGTTGAATCTTTGATCCTATTTATACAGCCAACTCTGCGAATGACCTTGAGATGAACGAGAGGGCTGGCACGAGTCACAGCATTAAAGTCGGACTCCATTTCATTTCTTTTGATGTGATGTGAAGCGTGTTTCAAGTTAAATTTGGTTACATGCCAACTTTGATGTGTTCAGTGGACTACCTATTGAGTGTCATGTATCTGCCACATCTTCTGCAAGCAATTCCGATCGATCCCTACTGAATTTGGATGTGAGTGGGAATTATCAAAAAGGCTGCCGTCTTTCTCTGCTAAGAAAACAAACTCTCTTTCTTGCTGTACGAGGGGACTTCCCCGAATGTAATTCACCCAAACCGAATTAAGCATTTCTGGTTCAAGCCAATTTCTTATAACCGAACTATCTAAAGAATTTATCGAGAATTGAACTTCGGTTGAGTATGTCCCGCAAACAATACACGCCATGCATCTCCACAACCAGAATTGGGCATTCGTGTACGTTTTTAACAAGAGCGAGGTGATCACTTTCGCGGGGTGGAGTCCTGTGGAGACTAAGAGCAATGTAGTGACACTCAGCTCTACACAAATTGTTTCAGAATTCTGTAACTTTCTTTGCACTGAAAAATATATTTATCCCATCCATGAACTCCCCTCATCCTACACTCTTGTAAAGTTGATCAATATTAGAACATTGTTGATGTGTGCCGTTGGTGGGGATAATATCAAATAAAAAGATACTTGATGGATACTATCAAGCTATTTGTGTTACAATTGGTCCTATCGAGTCATTTTTCCATCATAACCAGATACAGACTTAAACTTCCCAATAGTATAAATTCCGATGAGTGACATGAAAATGGAGATACATTAGTTTCTAAATCTGTCCAATAAGAACAATTTGTCACTAATGGCAATAGTGACATGATACTATTCAAAAGTGATAGGGTCGAGCTTTAATGCTTGCGGATTTAAAATTGAATGGGAATCGAACAGAATTTAATTTTTAAACACAAGTTTAGAATAAGATGTACAATCAAGATGCAAGAGAGAATTCAATGAGAAATTATACAATGAAATTATATAGTGAGATTCATTGTGCAGATAACTTCTTTATATGTTTGCTTCTTCTTCCTTGACGACGAACAGTCGAGATGCGAGATAAAATTCAGTGAATATTTATACAATGAAACTATACAGTGAGAATTCATTGTGCGGATCACTTCTTGATAGGTTTGCTTCTTCTTCCTCGACAACGAACAGTCTAGATGCAAGAGAGAATTTAGTGAGTCTCTATACAATGAAACTATACAATGAGAGTTCATTGTGTTGATAACTTCTTGATACGTTTGCTTCTTCTTCCTCGACAACGAACAGTCGAGATGCAAGAGAGAATTGAGTGAGTCTCTATACAATGAGAGTTCATTGTGTTGATAACTTCTTGATACGTTTGCTTCTTCTTCCTCGACAACGAACAGTCTAGATGCGAGAGAGAATTGAGTGAGTCTATATATAATGAAACTATATAGTGAGAATTCATTATGCTGATAATTTCTTCATACATTTGTTTCTTCTTCCTCGTCGACAGACAATTAGGATGTGAGAGAATTTAGTTAGTCTGTATTCTTCCTCGACGACGAACAGTTGAGATGCTAGAGAGAATTGAGTGAGTCTTTATACAATAAAACTATATAGTGAAAATTCATTGTGCTGATAATTTCTTCATACATTTGCTTCTTCTTCCTCGATGACTAACAGTTGAGATGCGAGAGAGAATTCAGTGAGTCTTTATACAATGAAATTATGCTTACTCGATGACGAACAGTCGAACATAACTTCAGAACAAATGTAACTCATTCCAACATTACTCTCACCCACTTCTTACGCAATAAACTTCATTTGGTGACTGATGTGATTATGTATATTGAACTCCAATCTTGTAGATGTGATAGAAAATAACAACCAAACGCAAACCGAACTTGCGCACTGAACTTCATTTGTTCATTGATGTGATTATGATTACTGAACTCCAAACCTCTAGATAATACAGAAAATAATAACCAGATGCAAACCATGTTCTCATTGTGAACATCAAACGATTGAAACTTCACTGTCCACAATCGACAAGCAGTCGGGTTAGAGATTTCTGCTCTAGCATGTGAAACTAATTAGCAATGAAGCTTGTTGGTGTGCTTAAACTATTAGTGGAGGGACGTAGGTATATATATATTTTTTTCGTAACCTTTTCTGCAGGGCCGGGGCGAAGCTAGAAAACGTCTGATTGGAACGTTAAAGAAATAAATTTAACCATACAGTTGTCTCATACATCCCAAACTTGACACATGCTGCATATCAAGATATGCAGCATGTATGCTATATGACAATGGAAGAAAACATATGATTTAATTAGTTTAGATTTATGTTTGATCGAGTTAGAATTTCACCACAAAGTTCAAGTTACGAAAAAAGAAACATTTCGTATGAAACTGGAGAAATTGAACTTCTATCGAGAGTTTAATATATGTAGTACGATATTCTTTGAAAACTATTATTTTATCCATCGAAATTTCTTCATTTTTAATATTCAATAATTGTGTTACATATAAGATCTAGACACAAAAGACTAATTTATTTGTTCTCTACAAACATTTAAATTTTGTAAACTGCTTTCAAAAAATAATTTAATGTAATTAAAACCACTTTTCTTTCAAATACACTAAAATGAAATGTTAACTGAACAAAATTCACAAAATGACTTCTAATGTATCATATGAATCATGTCATATAAATTTTGTCTATATTTACTCTTTGTATTCTTGTAATCTAGCGTCAACTCCAAATCTAATTTCATCGTGAATCATTTAAAAAGAAAATTCTGAATCCAAAACATTTTTTGCTTTCTAGATTGAGATTTTGGCAACGACCATAAACCAAGCTGTAAGATTTGTCATTGTATGAATGAATTTCAAAAATCATGTTAGTTTAGTTATGACTATATGTAATTAGTTATGAATATGTTAACCTATCAAATATTTATTTGGATAAATAATAATAAAATTCTTGAAATTACGAGTGTGCATCATTATTCCATCTCTTATGAATTTTTAAAAGCCAACGAGAAAAAAAAGTAATAACGTATTGGTTTTGATTGATTTGAATGAATAGTAGACACTAAGTTAGAGAAATTTTAAGGTTTAATTTAATGGCAAGTTGAAATGTGAGAAGTTTCAATGGTTTTCATGGCAGGTTGTAATATCAACTTAGAGACAAAAAAAATCTTAAAAAAAACTAGATTGATCAATGATATCTTTTCATGTAATATTAAAATTAGAGAAGTTTCAATGGTTATAATGGCATGTTTTAATATCAACTTAGAGACAAAGATGCCTTAAAAAGATCTCGCTTGATCAATGATATGTTTTCATGTAAAATTAGTCATGAAGATAAATTATATTTCTATCAAGATTAATCTTAGTGAAAATAAATTAGATAATTGTGAGGTGGCTATTTTTTAGATAGGAAATATAGTAGTATTTTAAAAGTTTTTTTCAATATATAGTTTTGATCTGATAGAGTAAATACCTCATAACTTTTTCAATTCGTACCTAATCGACTTAAATAGAGTTTCAATGGATAGAACTTG